CACAAGTTGTGGACCTTGCGTTCATCCAAACAACTTTGGAAACATGAAGCTACTGGCTCTACTATTCTCGTAGTTGTCACCAGCAATGCGTTCGGGGGAATGTTGTCAACAACGGGGGCACTGTGGATGCGCAACCATAACAGCTTCCTCAATACGGTCGTTGAACTAAAAGTTACGTGTGTGAATATTAGCATCTGGCGGAATGGGGCATTTATGTAACATATGCTGGTGGCGCGTCGAAATATTGAAGCATACTGCAGCCGTAGGACGTTGACTGCGTCCTCGGCACTTTGAGCACATCCATTTGCTGAGATAAGTTGGGAAACACATTAGTTCACATTCTGGAGGCTTTTCGCATATCTCTATAGAAGCTCATTGTTAGCACAAAACCTTACTGCTAAGCTCTGCTGGTGTACTAATTTGTCCTCAGGTACAATTTTGGTTGACGCGTGATCCGTGCCAATTGGTCGCGCTTAACTACAACACCTGCGATGTCTCGTATGGAGTTCCCCTGGTTCGCATCATCGAGTTGTTCTCCTTTTAAGGAATTCGACTCTGACTCTGGAACTTTGGTGCAGAATACTGATGGTACACTATGTGTACCTCGGATTGATGTCAGTCCTATTATACTATTGTACATTACTTGATCACTTGTTGTACTTTTATCATGATTATGCGTGTGCAGGCGTGCCTCGCTTAGTCGTGAATAAAATTTATTTATTTTTTTATTTATTTGTTTATTTATTTATTTGGCAACCAAATTCCAGGTGTGGTCCGTACTCTTGTGTTGAATTATTTATTTCCATTTCAGCATTTGAACGCATAACATAAGCATAGACCATTGGCTGAAGACTGGCACACTACTAAATATGTCACAGAAATTTGTACCGTCGAATTCAGATGCACTACTGGTTGGGCCGTGTAATGTGCCTTTTTGAATGCAGAACCTGAGGTGTTCGATCTACCTCTACTACCTGATGCGATGCAGCATAGATCGATAGTAACTGGAACCACTTTACTAGTAGTTAAGAGGTGTAAATATGGTATTTATCCTTCTTTTGGATTTGTGGAGTCCAAAAAATTGCCCACATTGTGCCGTGTGTGACAAAGTTCTTCCGAATAGTTTCATAGTGCCCGTAAAAATGCGGTGGCATTTTGGAAAAATTGCATGCGGTATGTAACGACAGGAAAAAGTACTTTGAGCGCAGGCGAGATGAACTGTTGAACATCCTAAAGTACAGGTTTCACGCGTCTTAGATCGTAAGTGAAAAGGCTACTGGAGCATCTCACATAATTATCATATTGCACTGACAGGAAAACCTCACAAAATAGCCGGATAACTTTTCAAACCATATGCATTAAAATTGACTACGTACATACTGGATGAAAAACCAGCGAAATAACCGTCTGTAACACCACTATCAAAAGCTATGGCATCTCGACGAATTAAGATAATAGCAACTGCTGTTAAGCAAGTGTTAACGTCACGCACCAGGTATGCTCACTTCGCTCTTCAACTGGGTGAGTCAGCTGATGTGCCTGGACTTGTTTCGTGGCTCGTCTTTGTAGAGTCTCGAGTGCTGCAAAGCCTTGCTTGTGACAGGGTTGCCAGGCCTGGCTTGCATATTCCACGTGAGGCCGCACGTAGGTGGCAAGCAACTGCTAAACAGACAGAGGGATCAAACGCCCGATGCCCTCTGCAGCATGCCAACATGTTGGTTTTCAATATTTGACGCCTTCTCAGATTGTTTTGAGCGGCCCAGACCAGCCTGGATTACTACCCTAAGGTCGCCCTTGTGGTTGACTGTTTGCAGGACATGGTCTCTAAGCTTGTATGTGACGTTCTGCTGGTGGTGAATTTGAACCACCTTACACTTCCCGGAATTGAACTGGAGTCGATTGTAGAGTGACCACTCATACGCTCTGTCCAAGTCTCGTTGAATTGCATCGTGATCTGCTGGGTCAGCGATCATCCGCCATACCTTAACGTCATCAGCGAACAGCTAACAAGCTGATACAATCCAACGCGTAAGCTCGTTAATGAACACGAGAAACAGACGCGGCCCCAGTACTGATCCTTCCAGAAGTCCGCATTCGACATAAATCGGATCGGACAGCTCAATTCGAACTCTGACCTGCAGTTGCCGATCCTGCAGGAAATTCCTGATCCACCCAAAGATAGGCTCAGCAACTGCGTAGCTTTCGAGCCTATGAAGCAGAATGCGGTGGTCCAGTCGGTCGAAGGCTTTGGAGAAGTCGAGGTAAATGACGTCTGTCCCTCAACCTTTATCGGCCGCTTCCGTCCAATTACTGTGTGCAATCAGTAGTTTGGTAGTGCATGAACCGTGCTGCCGGAAACCGTGTTGCTTAGGTACTATGACGTTGTGGCATTCTACTTGGTCTACGAAAGTCTCCGCGATGATTGCCTCCATCACCTTTGAGAGCACAGGGAGGAGGACCACCGGGCGATAGTTGGCGGGTTCCGAACGATTAGCGCTTTTGAAAACGGGAGTGATTAAGCCCTGTTTTCATATGATAGGCACAATTTACTTATCCAATCACGTTTGGAAGAGATGCTATAATGGCCCGGCCAGCGTTGTTGCTGATACGTACAACACCCCCGGTTGAATATAATCGATTCCCGGGAGAGCTGTGGGTGCGTAGCGAGAGCAGTTTCTTCAACACAGCTATGTCAGTAAAATTGATATTGGTGAGTGTTGAAATTGCGGCTAGGGATGTGAGTACGTAACACTGACGGACGTCACTTTGGAAACTTGGGACATACTGCATTCGTAGGGCTTTGGCTGCCTCTTGGGCACTCTGTGCCACTCCGACTGACGTGTTAAGTGGGGGTAGGGGAATATCCAGCTTCACTTTCCGGATGATGTTAACATTCTTGTATAGAAGCCTTTTGTTGATGGCAAATTTACATACCAACACTTACTAACCCTGGAAGAAGACATACTTTTGTATGCAGATCTACCCAAGAACACTAGTAGCCGTGAAATGTTCAATATCGTGAATACTTTACACACGAAAATAACATTACATGAGACAACTGTATCGACATTTGCCCTTTTAATGTCAGGACAGTGACACGGGAAATGGTGCCGGCGCTGTGACCAGCATCAAAACCGTTGCAAAAGTCTGCATCAATGGCCGATGCATTCCACATCGACAAGCAGTTGCCGTAAGAAAAATGCCATTCAATATCAAAAGTGTTCTCAATGAGGTTGTGTAAGTAATTACTTTCATTAAATATCTGCCTCTGAACAACCGACCGTTCTAGATTCTGTGTGACGATATGCGAAGTGTTCGTTTATCTTTATTGATCCGCACTGAAGTAAGGGAGTTCCTCGTGGTAAAATATTAGTGCATCTAGCAGAATTACGTAGATGTCTTCACTTTCTTTATAAATCACTTTTATGTCTTACAGTTCGGAAGCTCGGACAGAAAGCGATTGGCAAAGTTTGCCTATTTGTCGGATATCTTCGTAAGTATAAGTGCTGTAAGCCTAGCACTGCATGCAAAATCTGCGACCATATTCAATGCAAATGAGAAAATTCTTGGTTTTAGAAGGAAGTTAAAATTTTGGGCGACTTCTGTTTACAGTGGAGATCTTGACAGCATTCCTACATTAAAAAAACATTTTAGAAGAGACGCAGTGTAGCACAGAAATCCCATAAGATTTGTCAAAGTTGGTTGTGCAGCGTTTGGACTATCTGGCAGAAGGCTTATCTCAGTATTTCCCCGGCGATGAGAAGAATTTGAAAGAAAATTCAAGGGCCAAGAACCCATTCCCTTGCATGAAAATGCCCCCCTTTTCACACTGCTTCAGTATGAGAAATTCCTCGACGATATCAGATTCTTCAATTGGGGAAGTTTCACGAACTGCCACTCTCCGATTTTTGATGTAAAACGAAGGACGAGTATCCTGTCATAGCGAAGAGAGCTGCCGTCGTGCGTCTCCCATTTGCCACAACTTGCTGTGTGGTGTATTCTCGCATTGCACCTATCCAAAACAAAGAACCACCATAGACTTGTAGCTGAACCAGATATGAAGTTGTAGCTTTCATCAGTAACACTAAATATCAAACAAATCAGCACTGCATTTCAAAAACAATTTCACCCCAAAATCTTAAGCCATAATGTACATCGTACTTTCTACCTAAATTCAACCGCTTTTTATTTTACTAATAGTAATGAGCACCCGTTAATTCAGTGAACAGTAATGAACGTTTTCAAGACACTCCCTCTCATTCTCATTTTATTAAAGCCTAGTCCTGTAGTTAACAATATGTCAACGGGTCCACTAAAAAGAGGTCTACGAATAAAAAATTTTGTGAACCTTCGGAGTAGGTGGAACGTGTCCTATCAATTCGATGACGTTTGGTGTAGTACCGATTTTCTTCAGCATACCCTTCCGCCTGGTTCATCAACCAAGCCAAAGCGGAATGAAACACGTTTCCATCGATGGAATGTATTCGTGATCGATTTTACAGAAATCTAGTTTCTTTTTACCCAAGCAAGACAAAGCTTCTGCTATTTACAGAACTTATGGCTGCTGAGGATTGGCTTCTGGTCAGTTGTACTTTGGCCGCCTCCGCACGCACGCACGCACGCGAGACCGGCACAGCACGAAAAGCCAATCACGGTCAAACCGAAGGAACGATTCAGTACGGCGGACAGTGTGTCTGTTTCCTTCAGCGAAAGATAGGTGGCAGTCTAACGCGTAGGATGGATGTCTGTGTGTAGAGACGTGTGTCTTGTGCGGATCACGCGTACAGGATCTCCGGTCTGCTGAGCACGCTATTTAGCAAGCTCACCAATCGTATGAAAGGAGTTTTTAAGTGTCGACACGTTCACGTGCCGTTGTGCCGTTTGACTAGGCTCGGAAGTCAACGTGGAGGAATAATAAGTACAACAACTGTCCTGTCACCACTGTTGTGCTTATCCGGTTCCGAACACATGTGATACCGTTTGCTGCATCGAAGTAACCGATGACTACGTATCGGACCGAGTTGACCATTCCGATTGAATACGATCGACGCAAATTTTCTGATAGATATCGACAACGTGTTCATGTTGATCGAGATGGCACTGCGTCATCACGTCTTCACTCATCCTCCGTTCGATCAGATGTGCCTCAGAAGCCAGTACGAACGATACCATGGCACTGTCGATTCTCGGATGGATCAAAAGGCCTATCAGGGTTCGATGGGGGAGACGAATGGTTTAACGCGATGCGTCGCCGGTTTGATGAGCGCCGTAAACGATGGGATGAGGATATACGTCAAATGAGAGCTGACTTCTTCGCGCACCGCCCCAGTCACGGTCGCAGATCAGTCAGTCCACCGAAAGTGCACCTTCCTCGACCAACGCAATTCCCGAACCATCCGTTCACCCAGGAGTACTTTACCGGATCAGATGGAAAGGTTTATTTCACCGTCAATTTTGATGTTTCGGATTTCCGACCTGAGGAGATCAGTGTCTCTATCAGGGGAGATGAGGTGCTTGTAACCGCAAAATCGGAACAAAATACTACATCAGGCTCTAGTTGCAAGGAATATACAAAAACAGTAAAATTACCGGAAAGTGCTGACGACATTCTGGCCGACTGCACATTGACATCTGATGGAGTGCTGACATTTTGTTGTCCTCTGAAACAAAATATCCTCCTGCCAAAAACAGCGTCATCAGCAGAAGCTGTTCGTATACAGAACGCGAGTGTTGGTAATTCACAAAACACAAGTTTGACAGATCAGGTCAAGTATCCATCCGACCGAATATTTACCCATCGTGTTGAAACCGAAACTCCGGCCCAGAGCCATTTGTCCTACCCTTCGAGATCCGTTCATGGAAGTTTGTTTTCATTAAGTTCCTTGAAGCCTAAGTACCGTGTAGAAATACCTATGGATCCGGACTACCTACCAGAAGATATACAAATTCGCACTCTCAATCACCGCATATATATCACTGTCAGACATCAGGAACGCAACTCGCATCGCACATCTGTGAAGGAGTTCTCTAAAGAATATGATTTACCTGACAATGTGGACCCAGAGAATTTAAAAGCGAAGCTGGTAGCTGGAACCCTGTATATTGAATCCGCGGAAAGTCAATAGAGTTAGCTTTATCAGAAATTTCACTCCAGGTAATAGAGTGGATCTACTCCTTCCTGAGTGCTCAATATTGACATTTGTATTCTGTATATACTTGTTGTTTCGGCTGTTCCAGCATGGATGTATTTTTGTTAACTGAATGCATATAACATGTTGTCGTATAGCGTTGGGCACGTTTCATCTCATTTCGTCCATACTATCAGTGTTTTTAGCTAATCTTTAGACACAGGACACCGGTAAGCTGGATTTTTGCCTCTGACATGCTGCGGTTGTCATCAGAGATGGGGCTTTGGATAGTGACATAGATGCTTGGTATATTGTGTAGAACCCCACGTTCACCTTACTCAAACTTTTCGTAGCGTCATTTCCACGTGCCTCACTGTCGACCATCTCGTCATGTTACAAACTCATGAGAAGCTACAGCTAAAGGGCGCACGGCATTTGTCCGTAAATGGTGGTGGCCGGAACAATTATTTAACTGAGTCAACGTGTTGAATCTCCATAAGCGCCGATGTTCTCAGGATCACCGTTGCAGTAGGGACACTAACTTCCGATAGAATTTCTGATAATCAAATTCTGGTTGTATCCCTGAACATAACTGAGCATAAGTTAGATTTTCTGTTCGCCTGCGTGTTGGCCTATCTTGGGTTAACAGTTGAGCGACTTGGAGCTTCTACCACGGTTTCGAACGAGTGATGGGACGCGCATAGACGATTGAGATGGAAATGATCCGTCTAACTGGGCACTCTAGAGTCCCATTTAAAACCAGATGTTTCTTCTACTGCTTACTGTCACCGAAACATGGGGCGAAAATAAAAGCCCACTACTCCCGCCGGGAGATGACAGTCAGAGAATTTTATGTACGCCCAAAATGCAAGTGGAGGTTTCTGAAGTTTAGATCTAAATGTACCAAGCCAACCGGTTCATCTCCATAGTCTAATCGTTATGTAGGACTGATCACCCTGCCCTGTATTTACCACGGCGTTTTCCAGGTAAATAATCATCAGGCGGAACTCTAAATCCAAGGTGGTCAACGACTGCTACCACTGCAAAACTGAGCTTATCACTGGTTACTATAGACTTGTCTGTGTTTTCATGCTTTGTCAAGAAATTCGTCATTAGGGCTAGCTCAGAACTGGACTAACGTAAAAGCATGAAGTGTATTTAATGGTTGCGGTGCCTTCTGGCACTCCAGCTACCCTACTCAGTCGGAATTATATGCATATCACTAAAATGATGCCTGTATCTCACTACCGCGGCGATTCCCGATATAGACCGATCAGATCTTGACGGGTTACACTTCTGTGGTACGCTAAGAATTGCAGATACACTCATCATTCTGTCATTGAATACATGTGAAAATGTCGAGTAGCATCGCTCAGTTGTTTACGGCTTAGTATATACGAAGAGATGGGCGGTAACCGGGGCCTAGGAGGCTGGTTGATCAGGCTACTCATCACTTCTCCCCTCTCCAATTCAAACGACCTCGGGGAGAGGAAAGTTGGAAACGAAATCACAGATCAAAAAGTACCAGTGCAAACTTCTAGTAATCCCTGTGGTGAACAGCCAGACGAAGTAAGCGGTAAATTGGTCATGCAGTGGTTGATGCTCGCAGAGGGTGTGAGACGAAGCATTCACTGATAGACCAGTTCCACCGAGTTGAGGATAGGGTGAAACTTCATGTTTGTGCGACGAGTTTTCCGGCACTGCTCCTCAAGTTCGTGGTTAATGTTTGAGCTCAATACACACGCGTATTCTATACAGTGAACCTGCGAAATCTTTCGAACCCAGTGGCTAGTGGGCACTGAACCATACGAAGGTTGTGTACACTTCGATGACAATCTGTCCCAAGTGGCAGCTTTAGACCTGCGGCCAACAGTAACACGAGCCGATTGTGAGCAGCATATGAGGTCTGTCAAGGGTGGACCACTGTAATCCTTGCACACATGTAGTTCCGAGTGCATATCAAGAAGCACATATTGAAGTAGTTCAAAGCGATGCTGAATTTTCTAACAACTGGCCCGGAGAGCTAGAACAGCTGATACTCCTAGACACTTCCTTCGACAGGTACATCACGAGAGTTGACAAGAGCTTGGAAGCTCAGTGTCTGGATGACAAGGACGCAATCAAGGATGCAGAGATATAACCGAATTTGGATGAAGTTGTTTATGAAGCTCTAAAAATTGCAAGCTTCACACTTGAGACTTTTGAATACGACCACAACTATCTACTTGTAGTACGAGGTAAGTAAGATGGGAATGGGGTTACTTTCTCAGGGTAGATGCACTGGTGATAACGTCTACTCTGGTGACAAAGGTTTCGTGACCAATATACCTAACTCAAGGAACAACTTAATTGATATATATATATATATATATATATATATATATATATATTTATATTTATATTATATATTCGCTCATATCTTTAGATAGATAAAAAAGATAGGCATACTATGATAAGTGACTTTGGATTAGTATAACAATTTCATGTCTGACATTATGCGAGCATGTGGTGCGTGCTTTACCAGTTTTTTGCGACAAACGAGTTAACATTTGATCACCCATTTACCAAGCGGATAGCAGCCCGATTGCGAAACGCCCACCACCGTGAGGTTACATGAATGTGTGCAGTACACCACTGCAAAGTGCCACATTCCCATCCGGTGCCGATGATGCTTCCTTAAACTACTTTATACCAAACCAATCCAATCATCAGGCATTTAAATGCATTTCAGCGACAGATCTATGTTTTCTCATAGTATGTTAATGAACAAAACTTCAACATCCGTCCAGTAAGCATCAAACTAGTCTTCTATCCATTACCTGAACGTTGGGTTGCACAACACCGACTAATTCACAAGCGATCATAGGTCACCCGAGGGCTTTTGTAGATGCCTGTTAGTTTATAATTGTTATTTATTTTGACGAAACTTTTGAGCCAGATCCACGGAACCTTTTAGAAGCAGCATTATCTCCAATCACAGATATTATCAACGAATTCGCTGGTGTTGATATTGGTGGTTTGTGGTAACGTGTAATAAACGCAATACAAACGCAAGGTTGCAAGATTTTCCGGGATAACTTCCATGGCGCCAGTGAACGGAGCATGTGTTTCGTATGCTTGATCCAGTTCTCACAACAATCACCATTTATGCAGACAGATCGGAGCAGTATGAGAAGAGAAACATAGGGCACAACTTGAGAAGAATGTAGCCATCGTCAAACATCACTCGTCATACTGAATGCGTCGTTACCGCCTTACTTTACACACTGATTCACAGTACCGCGTGCGGAACTATGCACTCTGATTGAACATTTCAGCGTTATCTGCACGTTTAGGCATACTACCTGTAAACTTCAGGTTTAGCCTTGGCGTGTGGGTGGCTTATGCCAAAGAGAAGGGATGATGTGACAGTTGCGACAAAGTGACAACATCCATTCAAAAGTCTCCAGTGTTTATAACTTGTAGCCTGTGAATGCACCAGATTACCTGTTCTTCTTGAATAGTTGGGGGATGCCAAGAACTCTATCCCTATCCTGCGAATGTTTGAGCTAAAAATCCTGGTAGGTGCGACAGAGCATTAGTAGGTAAATCTTGATGGTTTCTATCCCAACGCACTGGCCGAAACGAAATGTTACCGCATGAAACACAATTTATTGACAGCGACTGAACCCCAGTGTCCGCAAATGTAACTCGGAAAAGTGGTGTGGCAGAAGTTGTCACAATCTGAAATTTGTCCTTGGTCAGTGCCTCATTGTTGTTTCTGTTTCATCGGGCTCCGTTAGCCTAGATAATCCTGTACGTTCTCCACAGTAACAACTACTTTGATGTTACCAGGCATTTTTGCATTTTTGTCCGTAAACACCGAGCTTCCCCCACATTGAAAGCACCGAAATCAGGACTAGGGCTCATACTGCCTGCTTAATGCCACATCGATTTCAGTGGCATCTGCACCGTCATCGTGTAGCAGGTTGCATTTGCAAGATAAGCCACAATCTCATCTTGATGTAAGCTTTTTCGACTTTGACCAAGAAAAAGCGTGAATTTGCTGACCTACTTGTCTGCATATAGCATGACAGGATGTCACACAGTTAGATGTATCGCTTGCATAGTATAACGTTCTGCGGCACACTTATGATAGCATCAGAGAAGCAATTAAAAATTAGAAATCATTGCACAGATATCTGGGTCAAATCCTTCTGATGAGCACAGGTAGCCGAAGACAAATCTGCTATTTTTCTACCGAAAGAAGCACGTTACAACTCTATACCGAACCTTGCGCACTCAATCCCCCTGATAAATCTTCAGTTTACAATAATTGCATCATGGATACTCACTATTGTACCAGTGCATGCGTCAATCAAGTGCAAAACTTAAACAAGTTTATACTACTGATTTGCGCTGTAGATTGCCTGCATGCTTCTTTAAACCAAGTTTCAAAAAGTATAGAAATAGAAAAGTTCTCCTCATTGTGATGTACGACGGGTGTTGAATATATTTTTGCACTTGTCGCACACCCCTAGCGTGGAACCCAAAGAATTGCTAGTAGTTACTCTCGAAGCCCTTGGTTTCTAACGATTCTTTCTCTGTCAGAAGCATTTTACGTTGTTAGGTTATCCAGGATTGTCCATTACAACAGTCTCTGGGTACGCGCTTCAAGGTTCACACGTTGCAATCTTAAGTATGTACACGAAGCCCACCGTCCAAAAAGTGCATATATACAAGTTAACTCTAACCGTACCGTTATCAGTGACGGGCTACAAGCATTGTGCCAGTAGTCGAAATATAGTGCGTTATGAAAAACAAAAACGTCATTCTATTTTGCTAGATGACCAGGTGGAAACAGCGGTTGATCATAGGTAAAACATTAATGCATGACATATCCCATAGAGTGCAAAGACGAAGAATTCGGGGATTAAAGTAGCGTCATTGAAATAGCACAAATATTAATTAACTCACCTGGGAGCTTCACTGAGTACACCGATTGTTTGGGCCACGTT